CTCAACTCGCGGTTTTCGGAACCTGAATGTCGACAAGGACGCGCTCGGACTCGACGACATTATTTATTATCTTTTCGCATTTGACTTTCTTCTACTAACAGCCTTACGGCGGCTGTTTTGAGCGGCTGTGCAATCAGCCGGTGGATCAGCCAATTGGAAAACCAGCATCTTAGTAGCCGAAGGGCGCAATTCAGCCGTTAACCGGCGAAAATCCAGCGCATGTCCGCGTCATAGTGATGCAGCTCACGCAGCACGTTACCTTTCGATGATACAGACTGCTGATGCTCCCCAGCCCAAGAATGTGGTGTCGACCCAGGTAGATAAGATAGCTACTATAGAGTGGAAATCAAGCAAAGGAGTGCATTCTAGGCAACGACGTAAAAGTTACAGCGCAAACTGAAAAGTACATAGTCAAGCGCAACGAAAGAAGACTGAAAAACACCAGGAACACGTTATCGTACATACACGCACGGGACTTCATCATATAGTTCGTCGTATAACCAAGTAGAAAAGCAGAGACGGAGAGCAGGATCAAGTGACAGGTAGATTCACGATCAACACGGTTGGGTTCTGGGGATCGACCGTTGCCGCTAGATGATGACTGTGATACAATCAATCGTCAGCGCTCTCCTCGTACATTCGAAGCGCAGGGTACTCACTCTTCCAGCTCACGAATGAGCGCGAGCTTAAGGACGGGCAGCTTGCCATCTTTACGCTGGCCCGAACCCACGATCACCCGCAACGTCTCTCCACCCGCGAGTAGCGCATCACGGATAGCGCGTTCCATGGCCAGTACGGCTTCGCGCACACGCAATCGGTGAACGTCAATGGTACTCGTCGTCTCCGTGTTGGCCGTTGCTGACGAACCAGGTGAGAGCGGGCTGAAGTGTGGGTTCATAAGCTCGTTCTGAGCTGCAGGCAGATCGAGTCAGTCACCCCGCTTCCTCGGTATTATGCCAACTGAAACATACCTTTCAAGAATGCCTGAGCTGCCTTCTCGTGTAGCCTCCTCGCCCTCTCGTCCCTCTCGCCCTCCTCGACCTTCAACTTCACAGCCTCTCCGTATCTCCTCTCGTTCAACGCCTTCTTCCTGTTCGCTGCCGCCCTATCCCGCGCACGCTCCTCTGCGGCGGCTTCCTGTCGAAGTACGTCCGCACGCGAGAGTACGGACGCGCGCGAGTGGCCGGTGATAGAAGTTGCGCTTCGGTCGCTGAACCACGAGTCGCGGTTCCCTGCACCGGCTGAGGCGCCGGTGTCCGGCCCCGAGGGTTGCTTCGGCGGGCGTAGATGCGCCGAATATGCAGAGAGGTCCGGCGCTACGTTCGTAGTCGGCACTTCGAGCGCGGTCACGGCGGTGGTCGCGGTCGTAGTTATCGTATCGTCAGATGGGGTATGCGGTATAGGGGGTAGCGGATGGTTGTGCGAGCCGGAGTACCCTTGCTTCTCATCTGTGCTACGCACGAACGATGAACTGCGCGCGTGGTCCAACGAGCTGAACGGTGGAGGTGGACCATCCTCATCCGGATTGGCGACCATGAGAGGCAGTCCTGGCGTAATAAGCGGTGGGATCTCCGGTAGCGCTTCGACATTGAGCGTCACACCCGGCGAACCGATGTGCGCTTCTTGAACCGGCACTACGACATGTGGTACGGGCATGGGAATAGACGTGGGCGCTTGACTCTGGATCGGCGGAGGGGTCATGGCGCCTGAGACCACGGGAATGGGTACAGGTGGGCGTGGCGGCGGAAGCGATGATGCTGCCTGGAGGAAAGGTGACGGTGCTGGCGTTGCTTTCCTGACATTGAGAGGTGCAACGGGGGGAGGAGCTGCCAGGGTACGGGGCACGCTGATAGCCGAGATGGGCGGTAGACTCGAGGCCAGCGTTGGCGCATTCGTCAATGTTGGGGTTGGGGGATCGTCCATGGATGGGATCTCGCTGGCAGGCGGCATTGGTATGCTCGGCCTACGTCTAGTGGGCGGACTGGGGGGCGGGAGGTCGAATGTAACGGATGCACTGGATGAAGATGATTTGGATGAAGCGACTCGGCGCATCGCTGATGGTAGCGCACTAGCAACGATAGTCGTCGCTGGGTTCTGGTCCGTCGATGAGGTCTGTGAACCTGTTGAAGAGCCACTGGATATAGATGGCGTCGAAAGACCCGGTGCAACGATGCGAGTGCGCGTGGATGTTGGCGCAAGTTCGCTAGGGGATACGGCCTCGACACGCGGTTGCGTGTTGCTGCGACTGAGGGGCGGTATGCGGAAGAAGCGCGCATGCCGAGGAGTGTTTGGGATGCGCCATGAACCCAAAGTAGACAGCGCCGCGGGCCACTTGAACTTCTTGATTTGATCCCAGAGATTCGCGAAGAACTCCTCCAACCGGAAGTCCTTCAACTGCCTCTCCGTTCGGCGCACAAAGCGCTGCATTTGCCGGTCGTACCAGAACGCGGGGGTAGCATCTGCGATAACCAGCCCGGCGACGGTCCAAAGCAGTATGATCGCTTGGCGGACCCAGCTGGCTGTTAAGAGCCAGTCAAGTAAAACTCGGAGTCCAAGTCCAAGATACGGGTCAAGGCTGCCGGAGGGAAGGCGTTCAAGGAAGTGGTAGAGCACCGCGCCTTCCCACAGGCCGATGAGCGTGCCGGCGATACGCGGAGGCGGCGAAGAGGCTTGGACGACCAGCCGAAGCGAGAGACCGAGTGCGATAGCAGAGATAGAGTCTAATCCCATTGCAGATATAGTACAGAGGGTATACAGGCCACAAGGCCCGGCAAGGGCAGACTATCGAGATTGAGCAGCTAAAGCAATGAGCGCACAGAGCAAGCCGCGGTGGGAACGAAAACATGAGGACAATGAGGACCCACATGATGCCATCACCTGCCCAAAATATACGGGATGTCCGCTTATGTCCGGTCCGCGGCTTGCCCTCGACCACCACGGAGGTCGAATATGTTGCTTCATTCTACTATCTACTCCCTATTCAAGAAGACCTCGATTTAGATAAAGCAAGTGGATCAAGGCTTCCATCGATGCTTTGCGCGCTTTCTCTGCTTCTGATGTTCGGTTCAAGAGCGACAACGGCGGCGTGCGAGGCGCCCATGCGCGCCGACATCGTACCCGGAGAGTCCGAACGCGGGTCTCAATTCCTGCTCTCGCACCTCTAAGCCATATACTCCATTGAGGAACGCCGTCTGTATACAGTGTCGGACGAGAGTCGTTGCAGAGTGAATGTCGCGTGAACGTCGGGATCTGCTGGGCAATAGGCGCCTAGGCAAGCGCTCGGCCGGGCGCGCCGGACGCTGAAGGCACTCTGACAGCCATCTTCTTTGTATCCCGTTACGGCGTATACGCACAGGCGTTACGCAAAATATTGCGCCTCGCCGTAGCTCTATCCGCCCGACTCACTGGGCTCTGTCTCAGGACCGTGGAGGCTTGGGTGACTGCTCGTAAGCCATCTTTCTATTGATACTGCGGACGCGACGTGCTCACAACTTTTCTAGATTTCTTCAGCACGAACGGCGGAATAACCAATTGGATACCTGCGCCAACACAATACGCAAGAACACGTGCTATCAATACGCCCTGGATATAGGCGTACCTCGTTTCCGCGACCATCTCCGCCAATTGACAAGCGAAGCATGTCTCTTGACAAGTCCACTGGCGAACGAGCTCAAGCCAGCTGCTTCATCAATGTAGCAGCTGCTAGCTCCGAAGCAGCAAGAGGCGACGATCACAAATGCGGTCTATTGACAGCTATCGACAGAGGTTGTCTATTTTGAGCTCATAAATCGCCCGCTGTTCCGCTCGCTCTCGTATCCATTGATGGGGACGACCACATCAAGTTGCCTGTCCCTCAGCCGGACATCGATCACTCTTCGATACAATCCGGGGTGGTATCCGACACGGCGTACTGGTCTTTCAATTTGCTTGAAAATGTGTCGTACGACCCGTTCAGCGAATTCCATCAGAGCAGCTTCCACTGGACTGAATACTTGGGAAACCGACACGCTGTCGAGAGAAACAGGACGACCGATGCAGACCAGACAGCCACACTCCTGCATCTATCTCCGGCAACCTTCCCACCCGCACCCGACAGCACCCTGACACCCGCCCTTTAGGCGGCGACGTCTCGCGCCGCGCATGCGAACACGATGATAAGCTACGGCCCCGTAGCGGATGACGCCTTGTACTCCCTGCGGTCTTCCTTATGGATCTCCAGGATATAAAGACTACGTTCCTTGCGAACCTAGCCCGTACCCTGCGGGATTTCTCGTCCCCTGGGACTCTAGCGCTCTCACCTCCCTTTCGTGGGTACAGCAACGATGCGCTCCTTTGCAGGCCTCCTGCTCCTAGCGACCTCTGCGTTCGCACTCTCGCGCCGCGCGGATCATGTCCTACATGAACGTCGCGCAGCCGACCCAGCAGCGCGTGCATGGGATCGCACACGCAAACTCGAAGCCGACCGCGTCCTCCCGCTTCGTATCGGGCTGAAGCAGCAGAACACGCATCTCGTCGAGGACATGCTCATGGACGTCTCGCACCCCGACTCGCCCAACTTCGGTCAGCACTGGTCGCCCGAGCGCGTTGTGGACTTCTTCAAGCCTGCGGATCACACTGTGGACACGGTGATTGCGTGGTTAGGAGAGTACGGCTTGACGGAACGTGTGAAGCTCAGTGCTAGCAAGAGCTGGTTGCAACTGAATGCGACAGTAGCCGAGGTTGAAGAGCTTCTCGGAACGGAGTACCATCTTTACACTCACCCGAGCGGTGTCGAGCAGATCAGTACGCACTCATATCCGCCGTGATTCGTGAGAGAATATACTGATGACTTCCTCCAGGCTGCGACGAGTACCATGTCCCGAACTATATCTCGGAACACATCGAGCTCATCAAGCCCACCGTACACTTCAACCATCGCGCGGGTCACCAGAAGGAGCGTCAAGTTGAGCGCTTCGGCAAGCGCAGCATCTCCAGGCTCGGTCAGCCCGGATCAAGCACCGGCCCGAAGACGAACGGCAAGAAGCCCACGCTCAAGAGCTCGAGCGATCTGTCGACCTGCGACGAGTTCATCACGCCTGACTGCTTGCGCGCGCTGTACTCGATCAACCATACTCCTGTGGCGACGAAGAAGAACTCGTATGGAATCGGTATGCTACCGTCTTGAAGTGTTCGCTCGTGCCTCATGCTCACGCGATCACAGTCGAGTTCACTCCTCAAGCTTTCCTCGCTGGCGACCTTGACCTGTTCTTCGGCAACTTCTCTCCCAGTCAAGTTGGCGTCCGTCCGAACCTCATTAGTATCGATGGCGGTGTCGCACAGACTACGAACCAGAGCTTCGACTTCAACGGAGAGTCGGATTTGGACTTGGAGTACTCTATGTCTTTGACGAACCCTCAACCAATCACGCTGCTGCAGACGGGTGATCTCGTGGAGGGCGCGGGCTTCGACAACTGGCTTGATGCCGTCGACAAGTCATTCTGCACTTTCGAGGGCGGTGATGATCCCACACAGGTGCGTCCGTCACGGCCTCTCTGTGTTTCATCGGTGCTGATCGAATGGTAGGATGGCATCTACCCTGACCCCCTTCCGGGAGGCTTCAAGGGACCTGAGTCTTGCGGCATCATCAAGCCGCCGAACGTCGTCTCCGTCTCCTTCGGCCAAGATGAGGTACGTCAGGTGGAAACGGCGATGGAAGGATTGGCGTTGAATGAGTCTGATAGGCTACTGTCACCGCTGCTTTCGCCAACCGTCAGTGCACCGAGTACGCGAAGCTCGGACTCCTTGGCACGTCCGTCCTGTACTCGTCTGGTGATGATGGCGTGGCTGGCTTCGGCGGCGTCTGCCTGTTGCCTAATGGCACTGAGAGCGCTACGGGCAAGAGATTCAACCCGAGCTTCCCCGGTGGTTGCCCGTTCATTACGAGGTATGTCAAGTGGCGCTCTGTAGTTCTGTCTTCCCACGATTGACCCCAACGGTTGCAGCGTTGGCGCCACACAGATCGTTCCCACGAAGACGGTCTCCGACCCCGAAGAGGCTTGCGAAACCGTCATCTTCAGCGGTGGAGGCTTCAGCAACATCTTCCCCATCGTATGTGACTTTGCTCTGTGTACTGAAACCCACGTCTAACACGTCTCGTAGCCGAGTTACCAGAAGGCCGACGTGACAAGCTTCCTCAAGAACCACCCGCCGCCATTCACATCGGCGCAGTTCAACAACTCAGGCAAGGTCCGCGCTATTCCCGACATCTCAGCCAACGGCGCAAACTACGTGATCGGCATCGACGGCGAGTTCGAGCTTGTCTTCGGCACATCTGCATCGTCACCCGTGCTCGGATCCATCATCACACTCATCAACGACGCGCGCATCGCGAAGGGCAAGGGCTCGTTGGGCTTCCTCAACCCCCTCATCTACAACGAGAAGTTCAGGTCTGCGTTCCATGATATCACGAAGGGCGGGAACCAGGGATGCGGGACTCCGGGCTTTACGAGTACGACTGGGTGGGACCCGGTGACGGGCGTTGGAACGCCTAACATGACCGCATTGCTCCCGCTCTTCGTCGCTCTTCCCTAACTGTACCTATGGACCTTTATCATTCTGCCCTGCTGTATGTATCGCGAAGTATCTGGAGTCGTCATCAATTTCGAAGTTCGGACTGTGAGGATCATGTCACCGGCAAACACGGCTCGCGCGCCGAGCGCCGAGCTCATCGCTCTCGCCTCATATACTTTTCATTCAGAGATCTCATGATGAAGCTTGGAAGCGCTGAATGGCAGGCTATCGCACAGTGCTTACATTGACTACGTAGCTGGACTAAGATGACAGAGTATTGCGAAGCCTCAAAGGATACATGATGTGCGAGGTGCGATATGATGCTGCAAAAACGGGGTCACTGGGAGGAACGTTGCTGTGTATGTGATCGACTATGAGACGTAAATCAGTTTGTACATGGAGTGTAGAGCGCATGGAGGGGGAACTGAGCCGCGAATCGATGGCCGGTCTTAGAAGAGGCTGCATAGAAAGACAAAGTTCTGTTCAAGAGAGCAGTGGACGTGAAGGTTGCAAGGTTGCATCTCGGACTGTTGATGTACCTGGATGTGATGTGCACGCTACCGGAGATGGAATGAGCGACGTGCGCTGTAGTCGCAGCTCAGATAGTATAGCGAGTACTACGGTCGGGTCTCGGTGTGCCACGTTGGATCACAGCAATCACGATGGTGTCCCAGGTATCCTCGACCATCGGGATTGGCACTTCCCGACTTCCCCGTCCGTCAGCTCCCAGATTCAGAAACGGCGTGGGCTGCACGACGCTTGAGAGATCGACCGACATCGTTGAGATGAAGAGCTTGATGAAGCCGACGTCCATGCCTTGATCCGGTCGCAAGTAGTACTTGAAGGGTTGTCCCCCTCCCGCCCCATAGCCAATCGTAAGCTGTCCTTGAGCAGGGAGTCCAGCCTCGCCGCGAAATCCAGCAGCCGGCGGTTGATAGTAGTCCGCTTTGATGTGTCAGCGCGTTACAGCTTTGTATATCCGAGTATCGTCACTTACAGATGGATAGGTCGCTACAGTCAAAGTAGAAAGCCCAGACGTGAAGGGGCAGTGGGACTTTGCTAGTTATAGTGACTCCGTAGGCGGTTTGATCGTCGGCTACGACGTTCACGATGTTGTCCTGGTTCAGGTTTTCCCCGTAGGTCTTGTACGGAACGCGCAAGTAAGAGTCGAGTTCTGCTTCCTCGTCCCTCCTCAGCTCGTGAACCTCCACGCAGAGGTTGGCGCGGAGTAAGGAGAGATCCGGAGACCGGTTGAAGTGGCGGAAGAAGTGCGCCGCGGCGCGCAAGATGGTGTGTACGTAGCGACTGTCCGCATCTATGGTTTGGTACAGCTTCTGTAAACCGAATGACTTGATCACGGAGTCGTTCACAAAGAACTCGACGTGTCCATCAGATTCGTAGACGCTGAAGTCGGCCTGCGTCTCATCGTCACGAAGAATAGCGGAATATTTGGCCCCACTCAGCTCAGCCCGTACAGTGTGTAAGACTGAATGAGTGTCAGTCGACTGGGGCATGTACAGGCGAAGCGCATTCGCTTCCCCGGTGCCGGTTTGGAGTGCAAAGCAAGGTATGGGAAGTTCAGGAGGGTCATCCAAGATGAAGACAAGAGCGGCGCTGAATGAACCCACGACATCGGCTATCATGGTAGCCAGAGGGGCGTCCTGAGAGGTGAAATCACGGTCAGCATAGATAGCGAATTGATCGCCACTCGTCAAGCCGTGTACAGAGCCGGCGTCGATGGTGTATTTCTCTCCGTTCTGGGTGATTGTATAGAGCACACGTGGCGTGCTCGGGGCAAGTGCGTTGAAAAGGAGTCGGTTGATGTAGCGCCCTTCACATTGCGGGGTCTGACTGTTCGTAGCCGAGTGTTAGTGTGTGATGAGATGGGATCATAGGCAGACGTACTCCTTCATGGTTTCAGTTATGCGCTCCATGAGCTCCTTGTAAGAGAGCTTATGGGCCTCAACTTGGCGCAGAACATGGAGCAACGCGCCGGTGAACTTGCCACGATGGTTCTCTTCGTGAGCCTTCTCGTCCTCTTTGCAGGCGGCCAAAAGAACGTGTGAATTCAGCCCAAACTGTGCAAAGCCGGATACTACTTTGAGAGCACGACCCTTTGGAAGCTTACCCCAGACAGCTTCGTCCAAGGAGGGGGGTATTAAGCCTCCCTCTTCTATCTCGAAGCCCCGCTCCAGACACATCGGAGCGAATTCGGGGTCGCGCGTCCCAGAGCCTGAGTGGCAGCAGTCGAAGATCACGGTCTGCATCTCGTGGTCAGCTCAAGCAATGCGATTCTTCTGCTTGTGCAGAACTTACAATATTGTTGCCCTTCCCCTCAATACCGCGTTCCTTATTTCCCTCCGCCATTACGTGTAAAAGGCCGCCGAGGGTCCGGTCCGGGATGGGGAGGACAGGTTCGCCTTTCTCGTCGTGACTGAAGCAGTCGTAAGAGACGAGCATGGAGATCTTATCGTGGCCGCCATCCCATCCAGGAGGTTCTTTGGCGGATGTACCATGTCCGGCGAAGAAGATGAGGATGGGATCGTCTTTCTGGATCGCCGGGTTTCGCGTCAGAGCCTCGAGTTCTCGAATGATCGCGCGTCGTGTCGCCGCCTTGTTGCGCAGATTCACTATTTGATTGTCTGGAACGTGCAGGCTTTTGCGTATATAGTCATCTATAGCGTCAGCGTCCGAAACGGCGCCGCGCAGTGGTACAATGCGATGTGAGTCGTAGACGTCGATGCCAATAATGAGCGCATGAAGAGGGGCGTGGTACTCTCCCGATCTAAGTGCATATTAGTAGGTGTGCCTCGGGACGAATGTCAGTCGGGGAAGAACGCACGTGATCGGGTTGGTCTTCTCAAGCGATGCATCTCTGTGTGAAGGCGGTATTAGCAGTTCGGACAACGCGTATGCAATACCATTCGCACCCAAAGAAAGGTTTGCTGATACTGAGCGCCGCTGAATGGCCTATATTCCATACTTTCTTCCAAAAGCCGGGCTCTTCAAGAGAACGCCGGTTCGAGATGAGACGACGTTTCCTCGTGAGTGTCAGCCAACAGTTGTTGTTAGATGTTGAGCACAAAGCCGACGTACCGAAGATAATCAAGAATGAAGTTCAGAGGCCTGTGTGAAGCTCAGGACTGAGTCGGTACGCATCAAAAAGTGCTTACTTGAATATGATTCTGAGTATTCTGCCGCAGGATGCTGATATCAGTCTCAAGAACTGCAGGAGGAGAGAAGACATGGGGGAGGACAGGTGAGCGCGGCATCGACTTGGCGTAGTGAAGACGGGTTGATAGCATTGGATAGTGCATATATTGTTCGCCGCGAGTGAACAGAAGGAGGACCGCTTCCTGGCCTCGACTACTCCATTCTCTAGTATGAAATACGCGAGGCGAAGGCGAGGCGAAGACTTTCTACCACTCGTGTAGGTCGGAAGGGGGTGAAGCCCGCACCCCGGCCGCCACCCGGTAGAAGCAAACTCTGATAACATCTTGACGTATGAGAGGTACATATGAATACCCAATACAACACGACCTGCCTCCCGAGAGCGTTCCCAATGGCACAGATATCTCTTGCTTTATGCAGCTAGCATCCGTTTTGGCGCAAGTGAGGCGTCAGCGTTAATCCACTTAACGTATGTTGCGTTGAGCATTACATGTTCTGTTAGATAGTGGTAGCCTCGCGGTGCTATAAGAAGGCCCTCGGGACATATACAGCAACGCGAGCGTTCAGATCAGTCTCCCGGCGGGCAACAGATTGCACGCGAGTGAACCATGCACGTCGCTGAACTGAGGTGATCTCACAGCGCACATACAGCGAGGACGTCTTTGATACCGCAACCTTTGAAGTTTGCAGCTCGTTGTTGAGGCGAGTAGCGGGACTGGCATGGTGGAGGCAAGAGCCACGTCGCGAGTCCTACGGTTCGTGCCGCGCCAGCCCAAGCATTTTGTTCTCACGCTCTCAACCCCGCACGTCGTCGGCCTGACATAGAAGTACTGGATATCCTGTTACGAGGTCGAGCGAACCACTATGCAACATAGTTCAAAGGTGACAGTAGTCTAGGGGGTAGTTGGTAACCTTCTGGCGCTGATATCAGGTATCGGCCGCGGTTAGCGACCGTTTATCGTGCTCAATCAGCAGATGGGCCGGTGAGTTTGGTCGTATAGAGGATCGTGGAGCGTAAGTAGGCGCGTGCACCGTCGTACAGCTCGTGTATGACTGTATGTATGAACAGGGGTACCTTCGTCAAACACCGACGCGGCAGGTCTTTCCGAACCGGACTCAGAGCGAAGCTCCTTATATCTATTCCGTGGTCGCACTGTTCGTGATCGGCTTCTCAACAGGCATATTTTCATACATAGTGCACATGTGATAGCAATGCTTGAATCCAGGCTGTGGATCGTGCGCACTGGGAATTCCCGATACCGATCCATCTTTCTATGCTCATGACTAGCAGAAGTCCTCGTCGAAGCACACAGGCGACGGTGTTCACAGCCAATGCAGCGGGGTCACCATTAAATTTTCATGAGTCATATCCTGAGCAAGTACGGTGAGTTCTATAATACGGGGTCCAACATCACTGAAGCTTGAGTACGTCCTTTGCCATGAAATGCATTTAGACCACCTGGGAGATGAACGTGTCCTGTCGGCGGGAGAAGCTCTGAATCACTGCGGCGACGATTAGCGTGACGCCTCACGAAAGCCTCGAGGAACTCACCAGTATCAAGAACACTTGACGGTGACTTGAGTAGAAAGTCCTGGCCAGGAGAGAGCAATTGAGAGAGCTCATGGAGCTTCTCAGTGCACTGTAAGACATCCCCAAGTACAGCGGCAACTTGCGGACTCATGAGGGCGATTTTGCCGCCTGCGTCCGGCATACTCCCTGGGGTTCCCGTTTCATGACTGGCAGCGAGATGAATCTGTCCTGCTATCGGACTGCTCCTGCGGGAGCCGGCCACCTTGGCGGGAAGTCGAGGACTACCATCATTGGATCCGCACGTGACGGTAATCGTGGACTGAGCCCCTTCAGATCCCCGGTCATGCACATCGTCTACCGATCGGTGACTGGTGACTGGTGATCCCGTGCTAGACGCGACAGGTGATATGCTGGCGCCAGCTGGACGTGGACTTGTCGACTGGCGGAGAGTAGCCATCTCCAGATATGCCTTCCGAGTCAAGTCTTCTGCGACCCTCGCCTGCTTATACTGCACCGCGGCTGCCTTGACAGCATACTCGGCCGTCTTGCACGCGTCTCGGGCGTTGCGCCGCTCCTCACGATGAGCCGTCTCTCTGGAACTCTGCTCTTGCTCCTTTCGAACGGCACGCTCATAGACTTTACGCGCCCTTCGCAAAGCTTGCTCTTCCCTGTCCAGGGCTTCCCCTGCTGACACCAGAATGTGACGGCGCTCCGCTGCAGCCAGCCGCAGTTGCTCGACGATGTTAGCGTCGAGATGTGGCGGGGTGGACGTTGTCGGTGGGAGCTCAGAGGGGGCGACGTAGGGCGTTGGGACGGGTAGAGAGCCGGAGCTTGCCGTAGAGTGCCGTTCCGACCCTACTAAGTTTGAAGCTATCGATTGGGGTGTGTTGTGGGGCGTAGACCGGCACGCATTCTCCGTCGATTGCGGTAAGCGTGAAGCAGGTGCGGGTGGAGAAGGTGCGGTATGTAGCACGGGCTGCAAGCGAGCGACGACCTCGTTGACGATACGGTCTATTTGCGGCTGATCTAAACGGACAGGCTCCAAACGAGGTGTGAATGTAGGAGAGCGCTTGGGAGACGCGTGCGCGGGAGGTGTATGTGAGCCGGCAGTATGTGAGCCAGCATGCTCTAACGGTGCGCGTTTCGCGGGGCCGTCCAGCTGAGGAAGACTCTCGGGTCGTTCTGGAGGAGACGAGGAACTTGAGCGTGTCGTGGTAGCGCGGTCCGGAGGCCGAGCAATGCCTGCAAGGCGAGGAGGCGAGGACGAGGGTGAGGACGGCCCGTGACCCAGGGTATTGAGCGAAGTACGCGTGACGACCCGTTTAAGTCGACTTTTGCCCGGAGACTGCGACACCGGCGGTGGAGGTGAGTCTGGGTAAACACGGTCGGTGTCCTCGATGACAATGATGGGAGGACGGAAGGCCAAGTCGACTGGGCTGCCCGAGGGACTGAATGAAGCGCCGGCGTTCATTGTGCGAGTCGACTACTGTGCGAGGTATGATGCGTCGTTGACCGGCTGCTCGTGTTCGCATAATATACCGCCGCTCGAACAAGAGCGCGGGCTACACAAATACGGATGATACACGATGGTCCATGTTTTGAATCGCGGCCGCACGGTGCCCTGCACAACAAAAGACCTTCTTCTCCGGATTTGTCCCAGCTTGTTGTTTTCGCTCGACCTTGGGAACCGCCATCGCTTCGTAGACGGTTGCCAGGAGTAGCGCCACCGAGTGTTGTTCTTGAGTCCTGAATAGGAAGGCTGAATTGGCGCCAGAGGCTGTCCAGTGGCGCCGGGGTCCTCCATCTCCTCGCTCCCACATGAGCCCGTAAGTTGAGTGGCGAATAATCATCTCCTCGCCAGGGTTCTTCGCCGAGATTGCGTGCAGTTGCGGGTACGGCGACGTCGTGCATAGTTGAAGACGGCCGGTCATGCTTTGTGTGAGCTACTGAGCGCTGGTCTGCACTGGTGCTGCCAGACGGGAGGATGTGCATTGGCCCGTTATTTCGGTGGGAGGGCAGTTCCAGGATGGGATGGTTCAAACGAAGTTTGAACGTTGATTAGTCAGGGAGGGTGTTTGGGCAGTCTCACGCCAGATAGTGGGTGTACGGCATAGTAGTCGGGGTCTGTCGAGAGCGAAGATAATGCTATCAGGATAACTATTGTGGGGGTAGACACGAGACAGAAGGAGAAAACGGACGGATGAGTTCATGATTTTTGGCTATATATTACTTAACGGCGGACAATTTAAACGTCCCTGGTAGTATATCGGCTAGTACACCCGCTTGTCAAAAACAAGCGCGCGGGAGAGCGGGGTTCGACTCCCCGCCAGGGAGTCGGATAATAGATTGAAGCTTTTTTTCTGCCCGTGATCCTCAAGTTGATCATTTTCTCTGGTCAATAGGTATGATGATACCTACTGGACAGATAACTGGCTTTGCCATCGGCCACCCGTCCCATAAGCGCGGTGCAAAGGCCGGCCTGGGAACGGAACAATAGGGGTTCTGTTACTGTAACGGAAGCAATTGATGGCGAGGCCGGGGAACCACCGCCCGCGCGAGACGCCGCGAGCGCTTGCACGTACTTGGACTGTCACCACCATCTCTCCCCCACTCTCCAGCTGTCCGCGATGCCGCTGCCCAAGGGTACGCTCTCGCTCCAGAACCCAAATGTGGGCCCGACACAGTCGAAGGTCGCGATGCTCGTGCGGCTGCCCGCCGAGGCATACGCCGCGCTAGAAACCGCAATTGAGATTGAAGTCGTGAATGATGGGCCGCATCCTGTAAGGCTTTCTCCCTCGTTTACTCATTCTATGGAATATGTCTGACGCTGGATGTGCGGTCTGTAGGGTATCAAGATTGGCGACAAGTTCTATCCTTTACAACACCAGCCCGAGACACACCCGCACGAGCTTATTATTCAGGCCCGCACGCCCAACCGTAGCAACCCACCGCTCAAGACGCACGCGCCTATAGTGCACAAGATGGTGCCGCCCACCACACAACGCAGCGATGCGTCTCTGGCGTATGCACGTGCCGCCGCGGCCGTAGAAGCACCACGCAAGTCTACGGGCATGCTCGACTCGATCCCAACCACACTCCCCATCAACGGTCCTTCCAAGGCTGCGCCGAAGAAGGCCAAGCAGCCCGCCGTGCCGACCACGGTGGTCAAGCCGCGGAAGTTGCCGGGGAGTGCGGCGGGCAATGCGATGGCGAGACAGCGCGCGGGCGGGTCCGGGGGGAGCGGGCCGCTGAACCTTGTGGCGAAGAACGAGGGCCTGTCCGCCTCGAATTCGAATTCGCGCGCGACGACGCGTCCGAGCACGCCTGTGGTCAACAACAACAATGCTCCGGCAACTTCGGGCCGTGCATCGCCGATGCCGCCACCCCCGCCACCTGTGCGGCCCCGCCCCTCGGGCTCATCGAGGGCACCGGCCGAACCGACGTCTGCTGAGAAGGGCGAGATCGTGCTGGCCAAGATGGACCCGTCTGCCCGCGAGAATTTGAGGATGCGGATGATCCATGAGGTCGCCAAGGGCGCGCATAATCCACGCTCGCGTCAGGATCTCAGGAAGTCGATCAAGGACTTGGAGTGGGATGCGTTCAAGTCGCTTCTTGCGGAGGTACATTATCTCAACTCATCAATCATAAAGACTAAGTTCTAATCATACATCTCACCATACTAGGTCGCCGAACCAACACCCCGTACCCGCTCCGTACCCGACAACGAAACAACATGGGGCCTCAAACCCCGCGTCTGGCGCGACGTCCGGCCCTACAACGCTCCCGCGGGCTTCCTCCAACCAAAAGAGGCCAACCTCATCGCGGAGTACGCCGATGGCGAGTTCGACAAGCAAGGTCTCCCGCACGACCATCCCGCCCGCGAGGCCGTGCGCCCGCGCCAGCCCGGCTCGAACTATGCACCAAGCCCGCCTGCGCACTTGAACGCAGGCCGTTCGCCGAACTATCACGCCGCGACGGGTGCAGGCATGTCGGGCGGCGTCTCTATGAGTTCTAAACCCAGTGGTCTCCCGCCGAAGCCGCCTGGTCTCCCGCCTAAACCCGTCGGCATGCCTCTCCCGCCCATCAACAGCTCGTCAACGGCAACACGGCAGCGTATGTCGCCCATGCCTCCTCCACCCGTCACAGGATCACGACGCGAGTCTCCGGCGGGATCTGTAGCGAGTACACCGAAGAGGCGTCCGGAGCCGGACAGTGAGCGCGAGGAGGGCGAGATGGACGAGGACGAGCCGCCGAGGAGCGCGGTTGTCAAGAAGACTGGTGCTGGCTCCGGTGATGGTGTGGCGAAAGAGAGGGAGAGGAAACGCGAAGATGATATGCCTGATCCTAAACGCCGCCGCGTCGACCCTGAACAGCGTGCACGGGCGAGACAGGAAGACGGCACGCCTCCGCCGCCGTCGCCTTCGGTTCTGAAGAAGAGCGCGAAGAGGGCCAGGGAGGAGGAGCCCGATGCGGCACCGCGGCGGCCTGGGCGCGAGAGGGAGCGCGAACGCGAGCGCGAAGAGCCGCTGAAGAAGAAGGCCGCCGCCGCGGTGAAACGGGAGATGTCGCCTTTGCCTGCGCCCTCTGGCTCTCAGCCGACGAAGAAGAAGGTCCCTCGCGAGCGTGACTTGTCGCCGGCGCCGGTGAAGAAGCGTATCTCGACATCGCCTGAGCTTTCCCGGAAGCCGCGCGAGAGGGAACGCGAGGAGACGCCCAATACGACCGCGCGCCGCAAGCGCGGGCGGGAGGTCGACTTTACGAGCGATGAGGACAGCGACGATCTGCTGCCCAGGAAGATCAGTACAAAGGGCAAAGGCCGCGAGAGCGAGCGCGAGTCCGAGCGCGAGCCTGCGAGCAGGAAAATCGCGCCGATCCCGCGCAAGAGCGCCGCGGGTGGTGTGCCGGCTTCGGGGGCTTCGACGTCGACGACGGGCGCGAGGCCGGGGTTG